AAAACCAAAAAAAAAAAAAAAAAAAAAAAAAAAAAAAGAGAATCAGCTAACCGGGGGGTGCTCTCAGGGACCCTTGAAACAGAAGTGGCTTGAGATTTGAAATTCTGGCAGGCCACAGTACTCACAACAATGTCCTCCTCGGTGACTCGAGGGTGCAGATTATTCACGGTCATCTTGGTGCCTTCCAAAGGGCTGAGGACAGGCTGCCACAGACAAAAGAACGTTACTGGAAGTCAGTGAACAGCAGAGCACTTCAGGCAAACGACCAGGAAGGCCCAGAGGAAACCCCCATGGAGAGCCTGTCACAATTGGGCCCCTCTAATCATGCCCCCATCACCCTATGCTAGGGAATGGAACCTCTCATCATTTCCCAAATACGCCAGGCCCTTCCGGGCCCGAGCCTCTGCCTGGAATGCCATCATGTTTCAAGACCCGCCCGGCTCAGATGGCGCTTTCTCTTTAAAGCCTTCCCGTAACCGTCCAGTTGAATTAGATGCTCTTTCCTCAGTGCTCCTGGCAGCCCTCTGTTGTATCACCAGGCATAGTGCTCTGTCTGCAGCTCTGTTTTCCCTATTTGCCTGTGAGCTCTCTGAGGGCAGGGGCCACTGGATCTTGGTTTGCTCATTTGTAAAACGGGGGTGGCAACGCCCACCTCAGAGGCACGATGAGGACCCAACAGGATGCACACAGCACACTGCCCACCCAGCACAGGCTAACTCTCAACTAGTGTGGTCACTTCCTCTCCTTCACCTTCACCTCACCTCAGCAGGCGGCAACTCTTTGGGGGGATCCTCCTTGTTCACTAATGTCCGGGACATGTTGGTCAAGGCTTTTGCTCGAACAGAGGAGGAGAGAGCAGGAGCTGTGTATGCATCATTCTGAACCACTTTGGTGAGAGGAAGGGCCTTGGACATGGAAAGCTTGGAACCGCTCACCCCAGCCTAAACAAAGAGGAAGAGAGGAATCTGAAAAGCTAGGGACCCAGACACCCCAGGGGGCTGACATCCCCCAGTATCTCAAGGCCTCCCACCTCCCAGTTCCATTATCGATCTAAAGCCAGAAAGGTGCCAGCTGCCAGAGAAGGGGCAGGAGGAGAGAAAAATGGCCTGCACGTGTGTTCACAGAAGCCACTTTCCAAGAAGCTTCCACGCAGTCCTGAACAGGAGTCACAGGCTCACCCATACCATTTAGACTTTATAAAAACCCTACAATTTGGAGTTAGAGGCCAAAAGCTCGGGGTCAAGTTCACTCCTAGATACGCTTCTATCACGATGGGCTGGCTGGGAATAGGAACTCACTCTTAAGAAGGCCTGGACTCCCAGCTTTTTGGTCCCTGTTCTGCACAGAGGAACGATGTGTAGCCCTGCCTCCTCAGCTCCCAGACTGTCAGGGACATGCTGGCAGAGTCAGCACGTGCAAACCAGCAGAAACAGCTCCCTCCCTCACTCCCCTGTTACCCCTAACTGCGGATGTGATCCCTTGGAAATATAAACCAGTGAACTCCCTGGTTTTAATGTGTCTGAGGAAAAAAAATGCATGAGGCAGAAGTGGCAGGTGGTCTTGTCGACTTAGGAAAAAGGAGGAATACAGCAGCCAGACAGGCAGGTGATGGGACAGGGTCAATTCACCAGCTTCTCCCAATCCAGGTGAATCTAGATTCATGCTGGATCCCACATTTCTCAAGCTGTTTTCTGAGTCTCAAGAGCCAGTGAGTGTAGTGGTTAAACACATAGCCTGGGAGCCAGACTGCTTAGGCTTAAATCCTCGATCCACTACTTACAAGCTGAGCAGATTTATTTCACCTCTCTGTGCCTAATTCCTCATCCGTAAAATAGGGGTAATAACAGTACCCATCTCACAGGGTGGGAAGGAAAGGAAGTCTTAAATAAGTTAATACAAACACAGGGTTTTTTCCAATTAGGGTTAGCCACTAACTGAGTTAGGAAAGGCCCAGCCCCTTTGTAACAAACTGGCATCATTCAGCTTCACACATCACATTAAGAGCTTCAATGGTAACCAGGAAATTAGTCCACATATTCAGTGCAGTGACCAAAACTGAGTCTTTGGGTCTCTGAAGACCAAACAAAGGCACTTAGCTTGGGCACCCACTTGCCTCCCTATGTGTAATCTGGCCACATGCACTGAGCTGAGCATGATGTTCAGAGGTCCCTGATATTCCGAGAAACTACTTTCTTTCCTTCTCTGCATCAGCGTCCTAGTCCATCAAGCTTTCCCTGCATGCAGGCTGCACCTGGTGGAGCCTTCAGGCAAGGCTCAGTTTATTCTTGCTAACACACTAACCAAGGGAATCTAGACTCAAGAATGGAGCCAGAGCTGCTGACCATGGAAGGAAGGGGACCAGGCAGAATGTCCTGCCACAAAGGAAATAAAATGTGATTCTGTCCTATGGGATCACTCATTTTCCCCTGCAGTGACTCAGACACAGCAATTGGGAGCTGCAGCTCTGCACTTCACTATCTGTGGGATCTTGAACAAGTCAGTGGACGCGCTGCTGGTCTCAGCATTTATAAAAGCCAGGGGTTGGACTAGTTCCGGTTTTGATAATCTCATGACCCAAATGAAGAAATATTTCTGAATTGAAAGGCCCTACTCTCCACCACCTCTCCCATGAACCTGATCAGACACACCCAGAGTGTAGGAAGAAGGTAAGATGTCATACCACGTGGTGGAGAAAGCTGCCTGAGGCTGCAAATTTCATCTGTTTACTAGGAATGGGAGCTATAACATCATCATCTTCATCCAGGTCATATAAATTCTGAAAATAAAGAAATATAAGCTAACGTGGTATGCAGGCTCTCAACAGACATTTGGAGTAAGGACAACAGGTAGATGAGGGCTGCAGTAAGTGAGGTGGGGGGAGAAGTGGGTGCAGGGGGAGTGCCTGGGGAAACTGGTCTGGGAGACTGGGGCTCAAGTCCTGGCAGGCTGCCTCCCTGCCCCCAAGGGCGCAATGAAAGTGCTGCAATTCCAGTTACATCAGAAGTACCTTTCTACAAGTGGGTACCTTGTAGATACCTATCAAGGGCCCCTAAAATGTCTGTTTATATCCTTTGGCTTACAAAGTCTGTGCCAGGCAATCTGGCCTATAGAAATAAACCCAAACTCTAGAAAAAGCTTTTTTCCTCCAAGATGTTCATAGAAGGATTTCTAACAGTGGAAATTACAGGAAAATGGTTGAAATAAACTCGAATGTCAACTCAATGGATCAAGCAGTTATTAAAATGTTTACAGTAAATGTGAAACAGAAAAACGCTTGAGTTATAAAGTGAAAACAAACAAAATGAAACTGGATAATAACATAATCACAACTACAACTATGCATTAAATAAATAATAAACACACACACACACACACACACACACACACACACACACACACACACACACACACAAACAAACAAACAAACACAGGAAGGAACCAGGGCAGAATTTCAACAGGGGCTGGCTGTAGAGAGCCAGAGCGTGAGGACTTTTTTATCCCCTTCCTTAACCTTTCTCTGTTTTGCAAAATTTCTGTATAAGCACATACTACTTTTATAAAAAAAAAAAAAAAAAAAAATTCAATTTGCCTCTCTCTCCCTATGCATTGAAGAAATTTCTTTTTAAAACTCATACACTGCAAAAAGTATCAAATGTAATTAATCCCTCCTCCGACTCTTCAAATTGGAACCTTGGGCCAGGCCTCAGTTAATCCACTTGGAAGGCCACATTAAAACACACAAGTGTGGGGGACTTTGCTGGCGGTCCAGTGGGTAAGACTCCGTGCTCCCAATGCAGGGGGCCTGAGTTTGATCTCTGGTCAGAAAGCTAGATCCTGCATGCGTGCCGCAACTAAGAAGTCCACGTGCCGCAACTAAGAGTCTGCACGTTGCAACTAAAAAGTTCCGCATGCTGCAACTAAGACCCAGCACAGGCAAAATAAATAAATAAATATTTAAAAATTTAAGCAAACAAACAAAACCACACACGTGTGTATACACACACACACAGTCCACCTGTTTGGCCTGGTGGTTATTGACGACGTTGATCTTCATTCCAGCAGGATGGGCATGAGTTGGTGCCATGGCCTTCTGCTGTGGAACCTAGAAATACCCAGTGGTCACAATTCATCCCACAGGGCCTGCATGTGTTCTCTATATGAGTAGAGGATCACTTAACTTAAAATATGGTGGGCACTCAGTTTTGGTCTGTGGTAAAAGGCCCTACAAGACCGCCTTATGCCCAAAGCAGGAAAGCGACAGGAAGACTCATCATCCCAGAGATCAGGTGACAATGCATTTACAGGGCTCAATGAACCTGGCTTAATAAATGTTCACTGCTGCTGCTGTTCCTTTTACCAAAGATGCTGAGAAGATTAAATGATATTGTTTCTCTTCCCTTTGGGGCAGCAGCTGTGCAGGTGGCCAAGACCCTGCACTAAGAGCCAGGTCTGATTGGGCTTCTATCCTGGTCCTCCCTCCCACTGACCGGTTGTGTAATTGTGCACAATTACTCACATCTCTGAGACTTAGGTTCTTCTTTTATAAAACTGGGGTAATAATCCATGGTTGCAGTGAGGAATACATGTTAAGTGCCTGCCACATAGCACGAGCTCAGTCAATGTTTTGTCCTTTCCTCTCACTTCCCTGTACTACTATCTCACTTAGAAAATCACTTAATTTCTCTGGACTACCCCCCACCCTTTTCTTTTACAGAAAAGTGAGATGATATCTTGCCTACCTCATATGGTTACTACACAAACAACTGGGGGAACTGTCACTTTGCCTAAACGCTCCTAGTCCTTGGTCCCTGCCTGAAACTACAGCTGTTACTGGTTTCCAGGAATCTGTGACAGGAGCCACAACCTACCTGGATGGTTTTAGTGAGCTTCAGAGCAGGGGTCACTGTCCCGATGGGTGGGCTCATGAAGGCAGCAGGGGAATTCCGCTTCAAGCTGATCTTCTCCCGGGCATCAGCCACCTGGTGGGGCTTCTGGGGCACCGTGCTCTGCTGCTTGCGGGAATTCAGCATCTCTCTGGCATCTTGCACTTTCCCTTTGATCCGGAACCGGGCATCTTTCTGCAAAAGCTTTTCCCGGGCATCCTTGACTCCCAGCTTGAGCCGGGCATCTGAGAGGCCAATCTTCTGCCGAGCATCAAATCTCTGCTGGAAGGTGGCTGTGCGTGCTGGCTGGCCGAGAAGGCTCTGTTGGATCCCAACACGAGATCGGACACCTCCAACTCCTGGTCTGGCATTGAGCCTGCAAATAAAAACTGCAACATTAAGAGGATCTGGATATCAACAGCAGGCTGTGGAAGTAGAGCCATGGTAATACCGGAAACAAAGAAAGTCCTGGAGAAACCAGAAAGCTGCTCCCTGTCAGAGGAAGCAATTAATAGAGACTTCTTTCGTAGTTTTATGACTTTAAACTCTGCACTGTAAACAAAGTTAGGAAGCAGGGCCTGCTGGTTTCTATCACTAGGTAAGACTGTTTTTGCTCCCAGACCAGGTGCTTTTAGACACTATGATAGACACCTCCAAACAATACCACATAAAATAAGAATGTTTCCCAGATATCAAAACCCCACACACCTGAAGAGCAACTTCAGTTTCCAAAGTGCTTCCACATCCTTGCTCTCAATCAGCACTCTCAGCACCCTGTGAAGCGGGCATTATTATGCCCATTTTACAGTAGAAGAAACAGGCTTAAAGAGCTTAAGCAATTAACAAAGGGTGCCCAGCTGGCCTCAGGCAGCCTCCTGCCTCCAGGGCAGGCAGATACCCACACTGGGCTGGGACCAAGAAAGCCAACACATGGGTCTGGCTTGGAGCCAGAGGACTAACAGACTAAGATATAAAGACTTGGTAGAAAGAAAAATAATCACTCTGAACTGTTTCTATTCACAATACTCTGACTCCAAATGTGTAGGTTTTTTCCTCACGCCAACTAATTCTCTAAGTCTCTAGACACCAACTGGGTGTCTGACAGCTCAATTCTGACACTAACTACCTAGAGTTGGCACAGGTTAAAGGCTCAGTCCCACAAGACTGCCCTCAAGTCAGAGGTCAATTCCAAGTCCTGGGCTTCCTGTTCATCTGATCGACGGGCTATAAATGGAGGGTTCACACGACCCCCCCCTCCTCAAGTTACATAATTTGCTAGAATAGCTTATAGGACTGAGGAAAACAGTTTATTATTACCAGTTTATTACAAAGGATACAATTCAAGAACAGCCAAACAGAAGAGATGTGTAAGGCAAAGTACAGAGAAAGGGTATGGCAACACCACCCTCCTGGCACATGGATGTGTTCACCAACCCAAAGTTTCTCCAAACTCAATTGTATAGGGGTTTCTATGGAGGTTCCATTACCATAATTGATCAAATCACTGGCTACTGATGATAAGCTCAATCTCTAGCCCCTCTTTTCTCCCTGGAGGTCCAGGGTAGGGAGTGGGGTGGAGCTGCAAGTTCCAACAGGCTAATCATGCCTAGGTCTTTCTGGTGACCAGCCCCTGTCCTGAAGCTCCCTAGGGGCCTACCAAGAGCTGCCTCATTAGAACAAAAGATGCTCCTATCACCCTTATCACTCAGGAAATTCCAAGGGTTTTAGAAACTGTGTGCCAGGACAAATACCAAATATATACTTATCACAGTCTGCAACAACAAAAATGTTAATCCAGAAACTGTTAAAACTGGAAAGGAACGAAACTCCATAAAACAAGTCCCATTCTTCTGGGGCTCCTTCGTTGGCTCTTCTAATGGCTTGCAATGAAACAGAAGACACTTCTAGTCCAATCCTGGAAGTCCTCTCTGGGATCTGTGGGCTTCTGCCCACCCCACCATAAGGCTTCCAGCCACACAAACAGTCCTGTGGCAGGCGCCCTGCCTGGGGACACCAACTCCTAAGCTTCCTCTTTGGGAAACCCTCTCTGATTCTTCCAGGACAGCCCTCCTTTGTGTCTATTATTCTTTGTGTTCTTCCTTTCTCTCCCTACCCTGGACTGGGAGGGAAGTGGCGGATGGGGCTCATTCCTAATTCACTGCCCGGTGCTTTGTAAGTGTTGCTGAGCCCTGGCTCAGTATCAGAAACATCTAAGGAGCTTCTTAAAAATATAGATAGCTCTAAAAAAAGGAAAGAAAACTAACAAACAAAAAAAAATACAGCTCCCTAAACCCCACCCCAGAGCTACTGAGTCCAAAATCTGGGCGAAGGCCTGGGCATATGCATTTTTCACTCAACAGGTGATCCTGGAGAACAGCAGTGTTGAAAATCTCTGACCTGGAGTTAGAAGGTAAAACTACGGAATAAACAAGTTCCTATATCATGTCCCACATCACTGCGCAGGCCTCCCAGAAGGCATCCTTCATAGTGCGCAAGCCACTGGGTTCTCCTACTGCCTCTTTCTTCCTCAACCAGCTGGAGTGAGACTTTCCACCAGCTCCTCTGCTAACAGCAGGAGTGCAACCAAAGGTGAGTCTTCCTGGCACCAGTAAAAGAAAACCTGGACCTTCATCTTGTTATTCTAAGCACAGTGGAAAAACACCTGCTGCCACTACTATGCCAGAGCCAGACCTAAGGCAGTGATGCATAATGTCATTTTTCTTTGAAAAATGGCAAATTAGGATTTAAGTACTTTCCGGTGGGTTTATACAAAAAACAGGTGGAAGGGACTTCCCTGGTGGTCCAGTGGTTAAGACTCCACATTCCCAATGCAGGGGGTCTGGGATCGATCCCTGGTCAGGGAACTAGATCTCACATGCCACAACTAAAGAAAGATCTCACACGCATCAACGAAGATCCTGCATACCACAACTAGGACCTGGAGCAACAAAATAAATAATTAAATAAATATTTAAAAACAACAACAACAAAAAACAGGTGGAAGAGAGAGTGGAAGGGGTCATTTACAGAATCAATCAGATTAGGTTTAAGGTGGGTAGGTGGGACTGCTTGTCCATCCCTGCTCTATTTTCTCATGTAGAGACTCTGGGAGACTGAGGGGACTTCCCTGGTGGCACAGTGGTTAAGAATCTGCCTGCCAATGCAAGGGACACTGATTCAATCCCTAGTCCAGGAAGATCCCACATGCCACAGAGCAACTAAGCCCGTGCGCCACAACTACTGAGCCTGCGCTCTAGAGCCCACGAGCCACAACTACTGAAGCCCGTGTGCCACAACTACTGAAGCTGCAAGCCTAGAACCTGTGCTCCGCAACAAGAGAAGCCACCGCAAAGAGAAGCATGCACACTGCAACGAAGAGTAGCCCCTGCTCACCGCAAGTAGAGAAAGTCCGCGTGCAGCAACGAAGCCCCAATGCAGCCAAAAATAAATAAATTTATATATGTTAATAAAAACACAAAAACTGAAATTGAGTTATCTGTAGTGAGGTGGATGGACCTAGAGTCTGTCATACAGAGTGAAGTAAATCAGAAAGAGGAAAACAAATACCGTATGCTAACACATATATATGGAATCTAAAAAAAAAATGGTTCTGAAGAACCTAGAGGCAGGGCAGGAATAAAGATGGAGACATAGAGAATGGACTTGAGGACACGGGGAGGGGGAAGGGTAAGCTGGGACAAAGTGAGAGAGTGGCATGGACATATATACACTACCAAATGTAAAATAGCTAGTGGGAGGCAGCCACAAAGCACAGGGAGATCAGGTCGGTGATTTGTGACCACCTACAGGGGTGGGATAGGGAGGGTGCAAGGGAGACGCAAGAGAGAGGGGATACGGGGGTATATGTATATGTATAGCTTTGTTGTACAGCAGAAACAGAACACTGTAAAGCAATAATACTCCAATAAAGATGTTAAAAAACAAAACAAAGTCTGTGGGGCCATGGGAGGGCTTAGAGGTAGCCCAGGGTTTCTGGAAAGAGTAGTGTCAAAAGGCACCCTAGGCAGACCAAATGTGGAGAGCGCCCCCTACAGCCCACAGCTTGTAGTGTCTTTGCTCTCGCAGAGGGGGAGGGGGGAGCTGAGGAGGCATTTAAGTTTTCCCGATTTCCCCACCCTCAAGAGCATTCCTTCACTTCTCCCATATAACTTCCACAGCTGAAGGCTCTCTCCTTGGAGCCCTCAAAGCACTGAACAAAGCTTCTATTAAAGCACTTACCACGCAGCATCACAATGATTTGTTTACAAGCCTGCATCATCCACAGGATTAAGAGCTTCCCAGGGGGTACATCCTACAGCTCCTCCCCTATGTCAACACTGCCCCCAGGGGAATGACAAAGGCTCAAAGAACTGTGTCAGGGATCCTACAGGGCTACTAATTTACATTCTCCTTTTAGGCTCACAATCTCTGAGATCACCTGCCATCACTTCCATTTTACAGAGGAGAAACCAAATCTAAGAGCTAGTGGCATGGCTGGGACTGGACCCCAGACTCCAAACTCTTTCCATTATAACAGATTCCAAGCTTCTCTCTTTCCTACTCCAAGCCCCAGGGGAGGTAAGACGGGAGAAGGGGTGGCTGCCCTGGAAGGGCTTCTCCTAGAGAAGACTGCCCCTGCAAGGCCAGTCCTCCACGCAGCCCTCACCAACTGGTCCAGTGCCCTACTAGGATCCTGGCCACCAATCGCTCTCCCAGCTGAGAGAGGGGCACCCACAGAGCCATGGCACAGGGCCACTCTGGCCCTTACTCCAAAAGTGGGACCCACAAGGATCTTGCCGAGCTGCAGGAGCTTCAGGAAAGGTCTCCCGGAAGAGAAAGCAGCTGGTCTCTGACTGAGTGGACATTACAAAGGGAACCAGGCTGCATACACACTGACAGTAGAATACTTCATTGATGACCAGGTCCACCACACAGTGGAGGTCAGACACATCCTAACCCAAACTTGAGCCGTTTTCTCCAAATCCCACCTCCTCCCATCACCAGGGTACCTCTACCAAAGGTCCCTGATATTTATAACTACAGGAGGTGGGATGATCTTATCGTGTGATACACCATGATTTTACAATACCATAAAATTGGGCAAATCTAGACCCAATGGCATAATTATGCTTTCAAAAAGTCAAGTTACCCAGTTTCACCAGTCATTCAAGCAATTAAACATTATTGCCAAAAAAAAAAGAAAAAGCTACTGAAAGCAACTATTTTGAATAATTAAAGGAACAACGAGATTCTTTTTTAAATGGATATAGGATTATCAGCTTACCTTTTTTTTAAAAAAAAATTATTTTATTTATTTGTTTTTGGCTGTGTTGGGTCCTTGTTGCTGCGCATGGACTTTCTCTAGTTGCAGGGCGT